TCTTTAAGGAGTTATGCCAACATTTTTTTCCTTAAATTATTATACTTTGAGCTCATTGAAATGGGTATCAAGATTTTATAAAACTGCATGTATGGAGGCGTGGCATAAAGTATATACATACATAAAGTATATACATATATTCTTAATCAGGACGATTGGCCTCCTCGCAATAAGCAGGGCAATGTTCTGTCTTTGCAATATGATTCTATTTATTTTAATGTAAAATCTCCGCTTTGGGATTAACTCGTTTACCGATAAGGTTCTCCAGGGAACCGCGTAAACTGTTTTATTTTCAACAGAACTTTTAAGCTTTAACTTTTTCTGCATTTATAAACACACATGAACGCGTCTCGGATCATTTGGGGCTCAATTTAAAATTATACATATGTTAGACCAAATTTATTGTAAAGATTAAAGTTAAGTGAATTCACGCATTATAAAGTGGTAATTGCTCCCTGGAGTAGTGCAAGGAGAGAGCAACACATGCTTAGATCGACTCAGCTTATAGTCATGATCATTTATGGTGTGTGCCACGCCCCCTTCTGCCTGTTACATACAGTTTAACAAAAGCAGTATACCCCGCATTTTCGCATTTTCAAGGGGCTCAGCAAAAATTTGAGACGCCAGAGTTGAGGAAGTCGATAAAGGCGGTTCGGATGAAAGCGTTGGGCGTAAATCAAATTGTTGTTAAATATATATGCATATATGACATACATACGTATTACATACATATACATATACTCTATGTAGATTAATTAAATGCTTTGATAGTGGCCAACCGACAGACCGCAGAGAGCAGAGAGCAGAGAGCGCAGAGCAGCTGGGCACACCCAATTATTCCCTTGACCAATTGGCCACGCCAGGCACGTATCGCAGCTAATCATCATGCCCATCAAAATAATAATAGTTATGATGATGACAGCCCTGGTAGTGCTACAGCCGGACAATGTGTAGAGCACGGACTGGGATTTGATTTTTGGAACTCGACAGCGGCTTTCGCGCTGCTTGCCAAACTTGGCCGAGGCGCTGCGCACGCGCCACATGCAGACGGCGGCCGTGCGGGGGGAGGGCAGTCGGTGTATGCCAAAGCCGAACTGGCGCAATCCATGTGAGATGCATGCAAATGTGGCTTGGCGTATTCCTAGCCATCAATGTCCACATATCTGCATGCAGGCATCGTGTACATCAGTGCCGCCCATCAATGACACAGATGGCCATCATTAGTGGCTAATGACCAAATGCGAGCAGACTCTACTTTCCGAGCGCCCCTGCCACTGAGCACATTCCTGGCCTTTGATCTGTTTTCCTCTCTGGCCTTGTCTCTGTGTGCGTGTGTCTCTGTCCAGCTTTCTACTAATTGCTCAGCGTGCTTCCTTTGACTCTGACTCTACCTTTTCCTCCGACTCTTCTTCTGCCCCTACCGATTCGCTTATAAACATTTTCTCGTTCTTTTTGGCTGTATCCTTTATCTCCAGCCTCTTCTGGACTTTCTTTTATGTCTCCATCGATTTCTCTTTTTTTTCTAATTCTTTCAAATTATTTCTCTTTCTTTCTTTTTCACTCTTTTCTATATTCTCTCTCTCCCTCCCTCGCTTTCTCTTCCTTTTTCGCTTTCCTCTTTCTCTTTTTTCTTCTTCTCTCTTCCCTTCTCCCTTTGCTTTTCATTCTGTTTCAATTTCTTTTTCTTTCATTCTCTCTCTTTCATTTTCTCATGTTACCCCTTCTCCCTCTGCTTCTGCTTTTGCTTCCTTTCCTCCTTCTTTTTCTTCTATTTATATATCTACTTTTTCTTCTTCTTCTTCTTCTCATTCTCCTTCTCTTTCCCTTTCTCCTTCTTCTATTTCTGTGTCATCTTCTTCTTCTCCCCCTTCTCCTTCTACTTCTCTTTCTCTTTGTTCTATTTATATTTCTTCTCCTTTATTACTTCTCCTTCCGTTTGTCTTTCTCCTTCTCCTTCTCCAACTCCTTCTCCTAATTGCCTAATTGCCTCTCTGAGTCTCGCTCCCACTCCACCTCCTTCAGCCACTGCCTCAGGCTCGGCCCGTGCAATCTCTTATGGGTCTTTGGTGTGGTCGCTCACTCATTTTTTATAGCTGCACGGAGGCGGCGACGGAGTCGTAAACCCAAATTGCAATCCACATGCCTCCAAGTAATGCTCGGTAATTGTGGCGTGTGCTACGCTTCTTTCTCTTTCTGTTGTTTGCTCTGTCGTTGTTGCCTCTGCTGCTGCTGCTGCTGCTGCTGCTTCTGTTGTGGTTCTTTTGTTGCTGCAGTTGCTGCGGACGAGGCCCAGGCAGCTATTTAACAAAATGAAATGAAATTAAAATGCAGTTGACCTAAAAATAGCCAAATAGCCAGGCTAGACTAGGCCAACAGCACAAATTGCTAGCGACCCACTAAAGATTACTTAAAAACAATTACAAAATATATACATTGCATGCATGCGGTATACATATGTACATATGTATGTATGACATATGATATRTGGCTTACGATGTATGATATATGGCATACTCTCTGTAAGCACGCTGATTGATGCATTGCACAAAATTTAAGCGCATCGATTGCACTTTTCATTGTATTTCGAATAGCTCACTTTATAGGTATATTTATAATCGAGGGTGGTCTGAGAAATTGTCGAGTTGATTGTGATAAATCAAATAAATTATAGAACCAATTGACTTAGAACTAGAAACTATATATGTTAAAAGAAGACATGTTTAACGATGGGAATAAATATCAATAAATTAAAAAGGAATAAAGAAGTAGAAAGGGTCTCAGGAGCACCCTGAATGTCTTATAAAACATATATTGGGGAAAAAACCACACACAACTTAGAACTAGAAACTAATTAAGAGAAAATATTTTTAATTATGGGAATAAATGTCAATAAATTCAAAATTAAATAAAAAATAAAAATAAAAATAAAAATAATAATAAAAATAAATA